AAAGTATTTGGCGACTTTTAGCAATTTTTAAAAAGTAAAAAAATTATGAAAAGACATGCTTTTTCTCTTAACCACACAAAAGAAGAAAGTATTGAAACAGCTAGCCAGCCAAGCAGCACATCAGCTGCTAGAGACTTGGAGAGAGGTGCCTAGCAGTATGCACATCACAAGCGAATTAGGTTGCTAATTGCACTTGATTGATTGCCTAATGGATAGAGAGTCGGACTTGTAACCCGAAGGTCACAGGTTCAAGTCTCAGGTCTGGCAGGAATTGTAGGTGGGGGGAGTGAATAACCAGTGCTCTCTTCCACCCTCAATACCACGACTGAGGTGAGACCTGGGGCGCAGCCCAGGCTCGTTTGAGGCCTGCCACTGTGACCCAACACTCGAGGAGCCTGGTCTTGTGTGGGACAATGGTGGTGTCGAGCGAGGCGAGTTCGGGGCTTTGCTCAATCTGTTGGCCGCCTTGGCGGCTAGAGTGGATATAGGGGTGAGGTTGGCTAATTTGCAGGGTGACGAATAGATCGTACAGATTCGCTTTGTTTACCCTCCGCGTAAACGGTGCGTCGGAATTAATCAGCGTTTGCCTCAGGCTTAAACTTTCCAGACGGTCCACTTTCCGATTGGAGGAACTATTGGCATGGCTGAATGATACAAGGATGTCGGGGAAGAAATTGGAAGTCTTGCCAGTGGAGGCGAGGTTAAGCCTCGGCGTTGTGGAGAGCGTGTGGCTGGTCGAGCAGAGCGGCAGCCGCGATGAAGCCTGGTGCTTGCAGCAGTGACTGGCGGAGAAGGAGTGATCCTAGGGTCGGCAGATTGCGACGGAGGACCTGAAAAATCCCCAGTACAGGTCTCGTCGTTTGACAGAAAAAGTTGAGTCTGTGATATAATGGCCAAAGGAGTAAACCGAATGCCGGAAAACTGTCGTAGGATAGAGGTAAGTAGGCTGCATATATATATATATATATATATAAGTATTGTGCTAGTTAAGATGATTAGTTAAACGAGTTACACCTGAGAACAACATTGAGAAATATTGTCACAATTTATAATAACTGTTTTCTATTTCAATATATTTTAAAATGTAATTTATTTGTGTGATGCAAAGCTGAATTTCATATGATGTCACGTGATCCTTTAGAAATCATTCTAATATGCTTAAGTAACATTTTAATACTTAAGAAACTTTTTATATTTCCTATTCCTAATTATCACTGTTGCAAGTTGTGCTGAGTAATATTTATGAAGAATATTTTATTTGATCAATAGAAAGTAAAAAACAGCATTTATTTGAAACAGAAATTTCTTGTAACATTGTACATGTATTTACTGTCACTTTTGACCAATGTAATGCATCTTTGCTGAATAAAAGTAATTATTTCTTACAAAACTTAAGATTGAGAATTCCTGAGACAGCAGAAACAGAATGAGGGACAGCTAGCAGATACTATACTGTCAATCTCATACTGGTTCCTGTAAAAGCGATCAGAACTTACATGAGTGTGGAAAGCACTCAGCAGCAGAAGAGAATACGGCTGGTGCTGGGGGAGATCAGTGCTTGTTTATTCTGCCTATAAGAAGGATGGTGTACATGTGTGCTCTGAGGGTTTCACATCAGATGGTTTCCACATCAACTCCCTGGACCATCCGGTGAACAGCCATCCTGACAGGCAGATACTGTAGTGCGGTTTGGAGATATTGAGGATGACCGAGGTGAACTGTGGGTAATAACACGCACTCTGAATGAGCATCTGGAAAGTGTAGATAACATATACAAGAAAAAAAAATTTGTTCTCTGTATCTGATTTTTACCATGGGCAACTACATTCTCAAATGTTTTCTAATTTGAATCACAGACCGAGTTTGGATATTCTTGTTCTTTTTATCTGCAGTCCAAAAAAAAAAAAAATGAAAATCACATAAATTCAACAAATGAACACTAAAAAATACAAACGTATTTTATTTTAAATTCAACCATTTTTATATATATTTTTTTCAAACTCTGCACCAAAATGCACACTGTAAGCAAAAAGAACAGTAGAAAAACAGAAAAGGTAATTTTCTACTATTTAAATATACAGAAGGGTTAGGGTTTGGCAAGGAATATGGGCCATATTTTTACAGACTTTTAGAGTGCAAGGGTAGTTGCCAGGATGAAATGAAATAGAAAAAAAGGTCAGACTGATTGCTTAGAAAACAAATAGCACACATCAAATATGCTGCACAACTTGAGCAACACTAAAAGTGATAAAGTAAAAAATGATAAGTAAAAAAAAAAAAAACTATATATCCACCTACACTTTATCTTCTGCTGAAGAAGGTAACAATGCAGCATTCAGACATGGGCAAGAAGCCAAATTCCTGCTGCCATGTTCTCTCTACACTGCACAGTTCTTCCACCAGAATCCTTTCTGTGATGCACCTTCATCCGTCTGGACAGCTGCAAAAACACAGCGCTGGCCAGCCATTGAAGAATGCCAGGTAGGGCGAAAGAATCATAGTTCCTGATGGAGGCTTGTCTAATGTTTGATGTTGGTATTATCTTTTGACAGCAGATCTCAGAATGAGTTGATTACACAGATTCCAAAGCCACTGGGATCCATCTTCATGTTGTAATGAAGCATATGCTTTAGCTGGAATCTTGGCCTGTCTCTGAAGACTAACAGCCTGCCCTTTCGGCAACTCATTATATAGAAGCAAGACTCATTCATCCACCAAACCCAAAATGACTATGAGACTAAATATACTGGATGGTGCAAAATTGTTAACTAGATTTTTACATTTACTCTACTCAACAAGCAAATGAAAGTCATATCGGAATGACATTAGTGTGAGTAATTGACAGAATTGAATTTTTGGGTGAACAAACCCTTTATAAAGCACTGCTAATGACAAAGAAATCTCCATTTTCTTGATCTTAGGAATGTTGCTTGCATTGATCCAATGCATTGTGCCAAGTCTATAATTTCTTTTGAGCCTGGTTGTTAATTAAATTGGGTAATTCAGCCCATAAAAACAACATTCTTTGCTATTTATGAGTTTTGCTTTTTTAGGAGAATCCTGGCCTTATCTGAGAAATTCTCCAGTAAACTCCACGTGTGCACTATGCTAAGCCCAGAAGAGCCCTGCTTAGTTCAGTTGTCCTCTGACAGCAGCCATAAAACCCCACCTAAAGCACCGCTATTTCATTTAGCATGCATGCTATCAATGTTATCATGGGACTATTATCTTTAGCCTGCTGCTCAACCCAATATACAGTAGATGCTCATAAAAGCTGATGGGACAGTTCTTCCGAGACATCCAAGCACATCCAAGAGTCTTCATCATCTTCAAGACACCAGTAACCTCAAAATCACCTTTCGAGAGATGTTCCACAACATTTCCCATCTCTCTTGCCTCTTCTCTCTCTTATGGAAGCAATTATCATTGGCTCTTCCCCTCAGCTCCTCTTGCACTACACACAAAGCACTTTTCAGGCAAGGACAGTCACGCTCAGCAGAGGTGCTCGGGCGGTAATACAAGGGGTCTTGCCCCTGTGAGGCAGGTGGAAGTTATTAAAAGTGTGCAGTTGCCAAATCCGTTCACAGTTTTCATCTTGAAGTGATGAAGTGTCGTATGCAGGGCAACACCTGTTGGCACACCTACTGAGGCATGGGAACAAGGCGAGGGTTTTCTTCCCTCGGGACCTGGAGGCCTTGGCATGAAAGACATACTAAAATATGGCGAGAGGTTCTTGGTCTGTTTTTGTTTTCTGGGTTTGATAAATTCATGCATGATTACTTTATAGAATATTAAGTCTGCTCAGTTGTATGACACAAACGTAACAATTAATGTTTCCTTCCTGCTTTGGTTAGGTCATTAGCAATCACCGCAATGATCTAGAATTATGTTGGCACTGTTTTTAATGCTTGAAAAATGTATCTGTGCTTTGAATAATTCCTTATAAAAAAAAATGTCACTGGATTTAATTTCTATGCAAGTAACTCCATCTGTCCTTGATCCTTCGCTCTCTGCAATAAAACTGTGGAAACACTGCACAGCTGATGAATGAGCTATCAAAACCGACAGATGGAAAGCTGTTTTTATTCAGCAAAAATTATTGTATTTAAGTGAACTTGGCTGACTTTTTGGCAATATTCTCAACTAAGGACCCAAAATTTAGAGTATACAGAAAGTTAGAGTATGTATGCATGCATGGAGAGTCTGAGTTACAGAACCCAGATCCCAGAGAGATTTACAGGCAGTAATGATGGGAAGAGCATGACAGCCCAGCAGCCTCATCAGACCATGGATTATGTTCTTTTGGAAATGCTCGACAGATCACCCCAGCTGTCCAGACTTATCATGCCAAGAGTTGTCCTCCTGGCTGGGGTCCACTGGCCAGGAGAGAGGAACCAGCAGCTGGTCTTTGTTATACATATTTCCATTTCCACATTTCTTCAAGAGAGGAACCAAACCACCTTGTTGAATCTGGGCTAATGTATGTTGCAGCAAATGAGATATGTGAGTTGCGTAATCGTGAGGCCATTTTAGGAACTTTTTATTTGTATGTTAATAAGTCACAACCTTGGTGTTGCATAAACCTCAGTGGTTGTTATTTCCACCATTAACCTTGGTGGTCCACACAGGACAGATGCTTTCAATTCGCCATTAACTGAGGTCACATGGAAACATGAAAAGCAAGTAATGGGGCATGTCTAAAATGCATGTGCAGCGTTCAGTTGATTGATTAAGTTTACTCTTTTTAACTTGTGCAATTGAACTGAAAGTATTAACAGTACATATTCAGTAAATTTTTCAACAACACTGAAATAAGAACGTGTGACCGCAACCCGAGCAGTCACAAGGAAGATTCACACCGAGATGTCAACATGGTAGCGATGTTGGCATCCAAAAATGTGTTTATTTAAAGCAGTTTATTTTAAGACCATAAAAACAAAGGTTATTAATAAAAAACAGTTTAAAAACTAGAACTCTACTAAACGCAACACCAACTCCACTCTACACTAATGAGGCCTGAGTTTACCGCACTCAAGCAGCACTACAATAACCTTGTTTGACCTTGTTTCCTCATAATCCATCCACTAGTTCCCTTGTGATTAGTGACAGCCATCTTGTTTATGCATCGTTCCTACCATGGATCGCGGAACGAACCAAAGGGAGGGGGGATTGGGTAGCAGAACTAATTTTAATATTAGAAACAGTAGTAATATTACCTATAAAATACTAAATATATTACCTACTAATGGTATTAGTTAGTTGCCACATATATTAGCATATGTATTTTTAAGCTATGATTCTCCTACGATTCTGAAAACAAATCAGACAACCAAACCGAAATATGAAATTTACTTGAGTTTCTGACAAAATGTCTTATTAATGTTATAGTAAATGAGTCTATTTAAAAATATTTATTAATTTAAATGAATTAGCCTAATTATGTGGGGGGGGGAAATCATTTTAAATAAATGAAGATAAATGAAGACTTGTTTCATTTTGAATCTCTTGAATGAATGATTCAGACATCAAATACATTTAACACTCACTGTTCGCCACCTGCTGGAATAATGTAAGACCCATTTTGATCGCGGCTCCCGCAACATCAGAGTCTACATCCGGACTTTAAACTTTTATCAATACTTTCGTTATTATTTAATGTTTGCAACAAAGAAATGTAGCCTACTGTGTAAGTAGACTGTTTGTGAAGCTGTTTCAAACAAAGCTTTACATGATGAGCGCTGCTCTCTCTGGATTAGCGGCTGCACAAAAGCAGGTTTAAATATTCCGATGTGATTGTGATTTCAAAGGTTTAATAGACATAGCAGAATCACCGTCATTTAGGAATAAGATCGCGTGTGTTTGAATCAAGATCGCGATCTTTTAATGATTAAACATGCATACATAGGCTAATATACGGCTCATACGTATTTTTCTAGCCCATGTCATATTTGTACCAGACCTTAAAAGCCCTATTTATATTTCTTCATCATTACACATAAATTAACTTTTGTGGATTATTTTGCAGACTACTCTAAATGTGTAATTTTTATTAGCCTATGCCACAGCCCTCCAAAATAAATTTTTTGCCCTCATTTTGGGAAACATTGCTCTACATATTAGACTGAGATACTGAGACATCTAAAGATGATACATCACCTTAAAATATTTTCACGAGTAATGACTGCATTATAATACATGATGATAAACCTCAAACTTGCTAATGTAGATCAATAAAAATAAGCTGCTGAAAAGAAAGTCACTTGGGATTTATTGAAAACAAAGTAAATATGTAAGAAGGGGGTAAAAGATGGAGAGAAATGAAGCCCAGTAAAACACAGAAGCATTCATTCTCAAGTCTTCATGTGTCTTCTGCAAACAAATATTAACCAAAGCATTCAAGCAATATGGCCTCCCTTCAGGACGTCCTTCCATCTTCTTTATCGCACAGAATTGCTCAAAACATTGCCATTAATCCACCTTCCCTTTGTTTGGATAGCTATAAATACCGCTTGATGTTTCCATCAACCCCTTGGAGAAGTTTCCCCTTCCACACTTCTACAGGTTGTAAATGAACTTGCCACACACTTGAGAGCAGACAGAATTGATGATGCATCGCTTCTATGGAAATTAATGAGCGTCTGGTAGGAGAGTAATGGATGGTCCTCAGTGAGAAGCTAGTGAATTATCAGTGCTTATTGCCCAGAGCTAAGCCATCAACTCCAGAGTCCTGACAAACCTCGGAGTCTGTCTCTTCCAATAATGTTGTCCAGCAATCTCTGGTCTAATTCGTTGATTAAACTCTTGATTCTCTACTGCTGGTGATAAGTAAGACCTCAGACATAAATGAAAGGTGTCTCGTGCAAGCAGGCCCTGGAGGTCTTTTCAGTACCTTCTGGGTGAGTACTAAGGTTTTTCAAATCAGAATCTGACGCAAGTCCTTGCACTTTCATTAGACCTAATTATAATTGCAAAGTGAAAAGTAAATAAATAGGAATATTAGAAGCCGTTGAATGCTTTATTGAATCCATTTGGGTAATTTGGCACAGAGATTAAATAATTGGCTGCTGTTATTACAGGAAGTAACAAGCTGTATTATTACTACTTTTGATAACGACTAAAACAGCCAGTAGATATGAAAATGATTCAAGTAATCTCAAAATAGTCCGTTTTTTTTATTGCAGTAATAAAGGTCGTGGCTCTGAGGAAATCACACATCTGGTCGCAATTTCAAGTTATTAGCAGTGTGTGACTAAATACTGTTTATCAAGGGAGAGGCACTAAACATTAACTTAACTTGCAGCCAAACAAACAGGAAATAATTGCACTCTTCCGAGGGTCTCCTCACTTTTATTCAAAGCAGGACCATTATTTCTATGTTCTTGGCTAGCCCTCAACAACCTGGTCTCTTATGTCTTCAAGAACCTTTAATAGATGAATTTTAATAACAAGAAATTACATCTAAAACAGTGGGATTATACCAATAATAATAATTGGGGGTTGGCTGTAGACAAGGTGACAAGGCATAGAGTAAAAACAAGGGTAGACTCATAGACTGAGATAGTTTAGTCTTAACTTCCCAAATCCATTAATAATGGCATCAATTATTGATATATGAGCAATATCACACTCATAGTCATGCATATCAGCACTGGTATGATTTGGCCGCAGGCACAAGGCCAAAGTGATCAAAACCGTGCTGATATAGAGCTATATCGCATGACTCTGAGTGCGATATGGCATTTATACAACAGTTTGATGCCACAAGTGTGTAAATAAATAAGAAACAACAACGGGGCATCTTTAAAAAGGACCCTCATGGGGATTGAACTACTTCCTTCTGCCACAGATTCAATTCTCAAGCTGACAGTTTAACAGATGAGCCCAAGCCTCCGTTACTAATTCAAAAATGTCACTTTAGAACTAGTAACAATCACTGAGTTGCATCATTAACGTTAAAAGCTTAATTTATTATGTAGAGTAATGCATTATGAAAGAAATATGGACTGAGCGAGTGATTACCTGCATCTAATACAGCTTTCATTCTTCAGCTCAGTCTCACGCTGATAATAAAACATTAGTTTAAATGTCCGCCCACATCTCCAAAAATGTTGAAGCAAATTTTTAAATAGGCACTTTCTTTGCAAATAATGCATGTTTGAATCTTAAACAACTACATTCTCTTAAAAGCTTTTCTTAAAACAACATTTGGTGACACAACAACAGTAGTATTTGTCGAATTATATTTATATAGCACACACACACTACATTGATTGGTGGTTTGACTGATTGATTGATTGATTGTTTTCATATGCTCAAATGATGTTCTTCTGAAGTCATACAGGTTTTGACCAACATAAGGGTGATTAAATATTGACAGAAAAGTTGGTGAACTTTTCCTTCAATTTCTTTGGACAGCTTTTAACATACTGTATAGCAATCTCCAAATCTAAGACTAATTTGTTATTTGTTATGATCAAAGCTAACACATGTGTTCCATCCAGCCACTTCTCTAAACAACAATCACCGTATTAAATCAAGAAATATTGATTCTGACTCAAAGAGCTTTAAAGACCAGAGGATACATATAACTGACTGGTTCTAGAACACAAACCCAGCACTAATAACAGTGTACATGAGAGAGCCAAGGCAGAAAGACACTTGATTACACACAATAAACTTTATCCAGCACATTAGAAAGCCTTCAGCACAAATACAGTCAGCTTCCTCAGGGAAATAATATATATCCGTGATCTGTTGAGCCATATCTCTGGTTTGTTAGGATTTCAGGCACAGGATACCATGCTAGATCAGCACTCATTGGTATCATGTTCAGCCCGGTTAATGAGCATAGAAGCCTGGAGAAATCTGAGTTCTGTGTTTGGTGGCAGCCAGAGGCTACTTGGCTCAATGCCTGCTGCCCACGCTGTCTGCCTACACCACAAATCACATACCGAAATCTCAAAGTTATCTTGGCGCTAACCTCTCAATGTCCCTTATTAGCTACAGAGACCAGTATGTTAATATCTGCTAACCCATACTAATAAACCTATGTAATGATCAATGATGCTGTATCACAAGGTAATCATAGTCATGCTGACATATGTCCATAACACAACTATTACTAGCAACACTGGTTATACAACAGCTCAAGGCACATGTATGTAAATAAAAGAGGAAAAAACAAGGATTTGTCTTAAAAGCCCCTCTGTGCACCTATTTCTTGTGTGGACCTACTTTCTTATGCCAAGGATTCAGCATCTGCCATTTCTAGTTTTTGTCAATGACTAAAAGGTTGTTATTGACGACTAAGAAGTTTGGAGTAACAAGGAAGCAGAATGCTTGCTTTTATAAAACTTACATTTAAACTGCTAGTTTTGTGTTGTGTGGTTTCTGAATGATTCAAAATTGCATATTTCCCCTACTCGAGTACAGCTACATTCACACAGTCAGTGTTTATGACTGACAACCATATTTACTATTGGTTGTAACTCTCAAATTGTCCTGTCCATACAACAAAAGTGGCTCGAAATCTGTCTGTATGAGTGAATAATGTCAAGCCCCTACTCTCATCAGCCAAATGATTTCAGCTATCCTTAATGTCTGTAGCATAAACATTGCTGAATGAATGCAAATCCATTGCATATTCAAGGGCCCTTTTGTCACAGATTTGTCACATTAGACAAATCTCGCGCAAAAATTAGTTGAGCAAGATGATTGAGACTATAATTTCTGTAAATAAAGGGAAAGAACATTTTCTGAAACCTTTTGTCACTGAAAATCGAAACCATATAGAATTTAAAAAAACAGAACAAAAATGCTCAGTTACATCACCACATTTCCAGCCGACAAAAGTGTGTACCACCAATCACACATTTGCGCTCAAAATAGTATGTTTTCAGGCGGTTGACTAAGCTGTGATTGAATTTCTCAGTGCTCTTTGCCTCTATTCTGGCATATAATGAGTTGTATAATGAGATATTATGCAAAGCCCCTTCTCCAGCCACCAACAGGGCGCTTCAAGCTGTTCTTATTAAAATAAAAAATAACACACATTTACCATTGCATTGTTTTATGTAACCTCCTTCCAAAATGCTTTTTCATTTCACAAATACTTCCAGAGTTAACTGAAACTTGAGATTAATACAAACTTCTTAGGCCCTGTAAATTAATCTCAGGGCCTTCACTAAATTTCCTATTTTTATGTTTGGGCCACCTCTCCAGACCCAGTAAGTAGACTATGCCATAGAAGAACTTAGTGGGCCCCACTTGGCACAGCTGTGATTACTCTTGAAGTATTTTAGAAGTATTAATATTGAGGCTTAAAGCTATTTGCCAGTGCTGAGAAGAATGCCGTGGGAAATGTAACAGAAGCTTATTTTTGTAAGGTGAGAGTGCTCACAGACCATATGCTTTATTGAGTGCTCGCATTCACCTCCTAAGCTTGATAATTAACATTTCTTTGGTGTTTAACATTATTTAAAGTGCCAAAACGAGCCCGTTTAGTGTGCCATAACAATGGAAAATGTCAATTACAGTATTAAGCAATGCTTTATCACAAAAGACCAACTTGTTCCATGTATACTATACTTTGTTATGTTATGACTCTTTTTCTGTTTGGGGATAGGAGGCCCTATTGTGATTCTGGGCATCTCATTAGCCTACCTATTCAGGAGGCAGACACTGTGTTAAAATGCTCTGTGTGTCCTCAGGTAAAGGTTTCTCAAGGTTTCCCTCGACTATTTGATTGTTTTGGCTCCATGCTCTGCGTTCAAATGCGACTCTGAGCTGCAGTGTAGAAAGCACCTAAATTAATTTGCCAGCTGTGGCTTAGAGACAAGGCTGGAATGATGAAAAGCATGCATTTCCTCCCGCTGTTGGAGGACAGCAGAGAGAGAGAGGGGGGATCGTGAAAAGAAAGCAAAATGAAGGATCAATATGCGCCTCACAGGGTGCGAGAAAGGGAGGAATGCAGCCTTATTGATGGGCACAAACTGACAGGATTGGACTGACAATGTATTGTTTGTGCACTGCTAGCACAGGTTTGTGTAGTGTTAATGTGGAGTATTAGTATGGTGATAGATAGATAGATAGATAGATCTTAGATCTTCTCCTTTATACAAGGGGATATGGGGTTTCAGTTAAGGTATGCTTGGTCTAGCAGTTTAGGACCTGTTTAATAGGACCCGTGAGATAACTGCTACCTGTCATTTTGTGTGGTAATTTATATGGCTTGGCAATAAATTGTTCCAGGTTTAGTACAAGTTAAACTCTATGATTACAAAGCAAATCTGACTTGTCCAACAGTTTGTAAAAACAAGCAAAAAAGCAAAGCAAAAAAAACAATTTATCTAAGGGGAAATGCACTGCACTTGGTTAAACATCATAAAACATACTGTTTCTGAAATAAAGCCACAAGACTTTAACATGACAAGAAACCGGTGGGATAAAATTGGTTAATTGTTGCACAGCTCTCTGGAAATGTAACCTTTTAGTTAGATTTTTTTTTAGTACTTTTCATTTGTTAGTGTATGTTTATTGTTTTCCCCATGCCTTGATTGTTGCCATGGTTATGATCACCTGTGTCTTGTTCAGTTTCTTGTTATCCTGTGTGCATTTCAGCCCTCTGTTTGTTTTTGCCCTCTGGTCAATCACGGTCATATTTTTCCTAATAGTTCCTGTTGTCAAAGGCAATGCTGTTTATCAGTCCACTCATCCGGGTAACTGAAACCACCCGTACTTTTACTTCTCTCATACTACACTCGGCCTGTATCCAAAATCACCCCTAATACCAACACAATCTCATTTTGGCACATTGGTGGTTAATTCGTATGAATTCATATAATCTCATTCTAAGGTTTATAGATGATCTGTTTATGCCCCATAGTGACGGTTATGTTTAGAGGTGGGTTCAAGTGTTGAAAATTCTCACGTCTTGTCAGAAGCTGACATCCGCAGCACTTTTGCTGCACTTAGTGTCCAAATTCACTCTCTTTTATTTCTTACAACTGCAGCTGTCACCATCTTGTGTCTCACACAGTTATCAGTTGTAGTGAAAATGACCTCAGACGACTTCAGTGTATTACTGTAATATTGTTGCAGTGTTAATCTTATTGCTAGGCAGATTTTTTGTGCATTGTAGTGGGCTATTTATAAAAAAGTACTCTCTAATCACTATTTAATGGTTTTATTTGTATTTTTTAATTGCTGAGTCAGATATTTGCCGCATTATTGACCAGTGCACTGTACATAAATCATCCCTTATTTACTAACCTTGTCTGCTGCCATAATAATGTAAAACCAGCAACTTTCACATTTTAAAGTAACACCAGAAAGTGAAAAAAAACCTCCACTCCAATTATGTGCAATAGTCCATGCATCTAAATCAGAAGTCATGCCACTAAAATAGCCTTTGTAAACTGATTAATACACATATTTGTATAGAAGAATTAATATAGCACTTAATATAATTAATAAAATATGATCTTCCATTGTAAATGCATTACTGAGGGACAAGTAAACTTATTTTCTGTGGCATATGACAGTATGACACAGATGCTGTTGACAACCAAAGAAAAACAATTAGATTTGTCCTTCAGTTTGCAAAAACAAAAATCTTGCTACTTTTGAAACTACAACCTTTCATTCCTTTAATAGAGAAACATATTTACTCAAGGTTACCATGCACAATTATATTGTGCTTTTTTGACTGTGAACTTTCGTGTTACTTTTTCCAATTAAATTATTTTATGACTAATTGATTTGATTAATATTTTGCAAACAATAGTTTTGTCACTGGCAATTAGTCTCTCATGCATTAATTATGCTTCAGAACATAAGCTCTTGTGGCCTTTTAAAAGTTCACGGAACAACAGCTGGAGACAGAGCAGAGGGGGAAATGATAAACAGAACGTGAATGTCTGAAACAGAGTAGGAGTGTGAGTGAGACACTTAGGTGAGCATGTGTGTGCATATGCATGAACCCATCAATGTGTTTAAAAATGAGAAAACAGAACAGTGAGTAAGAGATGAGTGGTGTTAAAAGAGAGCAAAGGGCAGGCAGAAGAAAAAAAGAGAAACATCTTGAAAGAAACAGCTTCAGCTACAGCGCAGGTAATGGAGGAAGAGAGGGGATGGATGTAAGCCAAGTCTCTCAGCATTCCCTCCCCCTGTACAGGCCAGCTCAGAGGAGGAGTGTAGGTGGGAGTTAAGCACTTCTCCAGATGTAGTTGTCTGCTGCTCCTGGAGTCTGACTTACTCAGATAAGCCTCCATCACTCGGAGTTCCCAACAGTTCTTGCTCAGTCAAGTACAGGGATAAACAAAATTACGGAACGTTTGCGAGTCATCTGCAAACAATTACACACTTCGTCTTCACCTGTAACGTTTTCTCAACAGGAATCTTGAGGTAAGACGCAGTATTTGTTCCAAGATACTCAAGTTGAGATCTGTCTCAGCATCTAATTATCAGAAATAGCATGCCATTTTTTTTTTTCTTCTGAACTTTCTTGTTCATAAATATTCCAGTGCATATTAAAAAGTTCACTGTAGTTCCCCTTGGTCATTAGGACCTGAGTTGATCTCAAATGTATCCTATTCAAATAAATTCACATAAATTTTGACTTAAACAGAACTGAACCCTGAGCAGAAGTTAACTTCAAAAGAAGTGTTGAGGTTTGATGATCTTAAAATATCTTTGATATAATTATGTATGAATTCAGTTAATATTTTAAAAGTGAAGTAAATCTCCGTCTGAGGTCCAGGGCAATCATCAGCCAGTATTCTACAGTAATTCAAGCCACCAAAGATCAATCTGAATTCATTTTAACATAAATTGTGCCCTCAAAAGTAAAAAAAGAACTAATTTCAATAAAAATTTGATATTTCTAGAGAGCCCTTCCTTTGCAAGATATAGGAAACTTATGATTGTGCTTTATTGCATAAGCTACCACTAAAAATTGTTCTACAGGAAAGAGAAATATTAATGTATAACATAAGTTTAGAGGTGGAGTGTAAGTAGTTTTCTGTGAAACAGATAGGTTACTCATAATGGATTAAAATACCAAGACAGAAAATACTGGATGTAAATTGCTTGGTTTATTTACAGGCCGATGTTGCAAACAGCATGAAAGAGACAGGAATGCAGTGGGAATAAAATTGTCCAAAATGGTCTGAGTCATCATGGGTCATTATCGGGCCTCTGTCAGATGAATAAATCATGCCTGACGTTTCACCTTTTGGCCGCCCTGTACTAAACAACAGATATGAGCAACCTAAGCTGGCAGAAAGGAAAAGTAATACAAATGCAAAACAGGGGCCTTACCATTTTTCTGTGCCTTGGAATCCAAATATTCTTGTATTTAGGAAGTGCAGCAATTGTCTTCTTCCTCTTAAATGTAGTTTGTGTAATTAAGCTGTGGATGAGTTGCCCGCTTGTGGTAGGAAACCCATGCAATGCTCTTCCTGAGACAAACACTTGAGCAATGATTTCTTTTGTGTGGGCTCAGCAGCTCTGTGGCGGAGAACAGATACTACACTTAAAAAATAACAATATAATTGCTGTATGTACAAAACACTAAATATTCATAAATATGTGCAGTAATCATACAGTATTTAGTCGAATTACATCACAGTGTCTACAGATTAATAGTAAAAACAATTATTTGGTGAAACAATATGTACTTGCACAGTGTTTTTCTTATAATGGATTGCTTTAAATGTGTAACATGTATCAACTAAACTGATATGTAGTATGTTTCTTGAATTAGAATTATCCTCTCAAAGAGACATCGGTGGTTAAAAAAATCATGACAGACTAACAATATGTTGCAATAAGTTATGTGTGCGAGTCAGGCATGTGCACAACTTTCAGAGGTTGATGAGTCATCATACTTCAGAAGTAGTGTCACATGACATCCAAAAAAAGCTTATATGAGACATTCAACATCAATTCAAATGTTCAGTGATTTGCTTGCTTTTTACTGTAAGTTATTTTTAGCTTATGCAAGTAAAAATTGCAGACTGATTGCTGTATCAACAAATTGTTTACATTGTATGCAATGTAAAACTCTGCTTTGCAGTCACACCGTTCCTAAATCAAATGGCATGAGAGGGACATGGCTCCAGTGGGTGTACCTGCTCTCTTAATGTTGGCATCTTGCCTGCTGTTCATCTTGCCCTCATGCCTCTATGCGTGTCCGAGCTCCTGCAGTTGCCCCAGCCCTAAAGAGGTGCACTGTACCTTCCGTCACCTACCCTCTGCCCCACAAAACCTACCCAAGGACACTGAGAGACTCAACCTAGGGTATGATACTGTGTTGTTGTCTTTAGAAGATGATAGACTTAAAATGAAGGAAAAAAAGTATTTTGACACATTGTGGTTGTGAATAGGTCATGTTGTTCCAAAACTGTATGACTTTCCTCTGTGGAACACAAAAGAACATTTTTTTTTTTTTTTTTTTTAGAAATGACTCAAGAGTGTTTTTTGTTGCCCATACAATGGAAGTCAATGGTAACCAGAACTTTTTGGAACCAACATTTTTCAAAATATCTTCTTTTTTGTTCCACAGAAGAAAGAAAGTCAAATTTTATGTTTGGGTGAACTATCACTTTAATGTGCTGAGCTACACCTGTGGTTAATGTTGGAACTAGATGAGAACTGACTTCATACAGCACCTAAAAATCACCAAAACACCAGTTGGGTAAAAGACATGACATTCAATTATGTCCTTTTTAGCTCCATTGACCATGCATGTTTACTGAGTAAAATTAAGTAAATGATACCCAAAATTGATCCTGATTACTCTGCATCTCACAAAATTAGAGGGTAATTGATTTGATATATTTTAAGCTAACATTTTTTTTCGCAACTATCTTTGCTTACTGTAAAGCTATAACAGCATCGGCACGGTTGGGTCTTCAGATTTTGCAAACCTGCGGCAATTGGAAATGCTCATGCTCCATGGAAACGATATCTCCACTGTCTCTTCCGGATCCTTTTACCACCTCCGTTCCCTCCAGGTATAAGTTAATATGAGATGCACATCAAACACATTATACTCATCTACTGTACTGTAGCATCTTTGTGTCTCTAATTTTCTATAAATAGTTAAGATACATGACTTTGAAATTACACTGAGGTATAATTGATGTTCTTTATTGGCACAGATACTCAAGTTGAGCTACAACAAACTCAAAAGAGTTGATCCCAGCTTGTTCGAGGGCTTGACCAGCCTTGTACGGCTTCATTTAGACCACAACCTCATTGACTTCATTGAGCCTTTTTCATTTACTGGACTCACATCATTAAAGCTATTGCAACTGGAGGGGAACCGACTACAGGATCTCCACTCTCACACATTTATTACTGTCTCAGTCCTGGGTACATTTTGGAGCTCAGGACTGCGGCATCTGCACCTGGCAGACAACCAACTAGAATACCTGCTGTCTGGAACTCTGCAGCACTTAGACAGGCTAGAAGTCCTCTCTCTACATGGAAACCCCTGGGCCTGTGACTGCCACTTACATTGGTTGTTGGAGTGGGACAAAAATCATGAGGGTGAAAGCTCTTTGATTGTATTTTCCAAACTTTGCACCACTCACTCAGATTGTTTTGTAATGGCAATTAATAAAATCCCATTGCACACAAATATATAGAACTTCACATATAGTGTTTATACATCATTTATTCAAAATTGTTACATGTATCATCACTGTCCTAGATGCATTGTATTGTTACATTACATTTAAGGTTGGAAGAGCACAACTGACTCCACTGACTGCAAATAACTACAAGGAAAACAAAGATTTTTTTATTATTATTATTACCATATTGGCCCGAATATAAGACGACACGACTCGTGCAGCTGTAAGGTTTTCTTTTTCTTTTGTTTTTACTCGCGATCTTTACAACACGCATTACATTACGTATTTCATGGCACACTCATTTTATGCGTATTTGGCGCCACCTATTGTTGTGGGTGTATTATTGACATGTCAAAGTCTAGACCCTGAATATAAGACGACCGCGTTTTTTCAGATGTATTTCCAAGAAAAAAACATTGTCTTATATTCGGGACAATACGGTATTTACATTCTCTATCCTTCTCTTTACAGGAGTTATTAAGTGCAAAAAGGACCGTGAATCTGGAAATGCTGACAACTGTGCTGCATGTGCCTCACCAAAGCCTTTGAACAACAGCCAGATCTTGCCGCTTTCAACCAGCCAGCTCACCTGTGACCAACCCTCCCTTCAATCCCCACTTAAAATTGGGGAGAGTAGCATGTGGGAAAATCAGGAGCCAGATGCCCCCTACATCAAGGACCTGGAGCGTCCTCTTGGCCATCTGACATTCATTCTCTCTGACAGTCATGGGAATCGGGCACACGTGGCTTGTAATGTAACACGTCCTGTTGAAGACACCTCCATGGTGTGGGAGCCAGTGAGGAGAACAGATGAGATTGCCGTAAATGTGACTCTACGGACATTTCTGGAGTGTGAGATCGATAGAGATACTCTTCAGAACCTGTGGAGGTTGGTTGCCTACTACTACGAGAGTCCAGCAATTTTGGAACGGGGAACCAGACTTGGGAATTCTTCAAAGGTGACTTTTCAGTACTCTCAAGCCTCACATGAGGAATCACCATATTTTACAGAGCTCAAAGGACACTTAATGGCTGAACCAGCCTGGCTTTTACAACCAAGGGTCACCCTTCAGCTGAACCGGCGCAAAACAACAACTAAAAAACTGGTGCTGAACTTCTCTACTTTTATATCAAAGCACATCATTGGAAGAGGGGATGAGGAGGATGTAGTCTCCTCCTGGGCTATGATCCAAAGAGGAGGCCCGGGGAGAATCCAGTCAGTGCTAGAACACTCTGAAGTCAGTCTGGATTGCAGCGTGCTAAGCTCGGGGCATCAGCTTGTGGAGTGGATGCTTCCAGACTTAACAACAGTGGATCAAACTGATTCCCATAAATTAAGGCTGGAGAATTACAGACTAGTTATCAAAAACACAAGTATTGCAGACTCTGGACTGTATCATTGCTTTGTGAGGACTGACACTAATGTGGACATCGTCACCTATAGACTCACAGTAAGGATGCGTCTCTTAAGTCCCAGTGATTTAAATGGAAAGAAGATATCTGTGGAGAATGGAGACACTCTTAGTCTTCCCTGTTTAGTAACTTCTCCTCATCCAATTGAGACAAGATGGTTCCTACCAAACAATCAGATTTTTAAAGCATCAGACAAGAAAGGAAGGGTGTATGTATCACAGAACAACACTTTGATCATCAAAAAAGTGACTTACGAGGATGCCGGAGAGTATAGTTGTTTAGCAGCTAACCTCTATGGGGCTGATATGTTGTCTCATCTAATTGTTGTTACTGGTGAAAAGGAAGACGCACAAAGAGGTGTTACGGTATCGATGGGTGAATTACTGCTTTTTGAAAATGAGGACAGTGAAGGGTCAGGATATGAAGAAATCAAAAGACCAACTGCTAAACTCACACCTCAGAGGGTCGATGGAAAACACGTCCGACAAAATTCAAAAGGAAAGAAAATCAAAGAGAGTGTGAGAAAACCTAATAACTCTGTCAAAGAGCTTGATCCCGGCCGCTGGGAGCAGATTCTTGCAAAAGCTAATGCTAAACTCTCAACCATGTCACCAGTTACGCCGCACCTAGAAATGACAAAAACAGTGACTGAGTCTTCACTGATTACAACCACCAAAACTTTGTTGGCTGATACCTTTAAAATGACTAAAACAGATGTTACAGCTAGCAGTACCAGCGCAAGTTCAAGCATCCAACATTTCAATGCGAAACAGCTGGAACCACCACCCCCCAATGAGCATGTACAAGAAACTACACAGGGAGAAAAATCAAAAGACAAGACAAGTGATTATAACATTTCATATTTGACTTTAGAACACATAGACTCAACAACGGTACCTGAACATGAGACTCAGCTGGTAAAACAGGTAGACAGACAGACAATAGAAGATAAAATAAGGGCTAACAATAATTCCATCTGGAACCAAAGACGAAGATTCCCATATAGGCAGCGTAGGCCTCCTTCACGTAGACCACGTCCAAAGAGACCAAATTTCACCCTAGCTCCCTCTACAGCAGTGCCATTCACTCACTCTCCAGTCAAGACACTGATACCTAAAAGTAGTGTAGCAATGACCACCAACTCTTATACCCAAGCCCAAAACAAAGATGTCACAGCTTCAATGACTTTAGAAGTTTCCCCTGCACATTACCCAGTAACCGAACACTTTGCCATGGCAGTCACAGAGGACCCTCTTAAAGTGCCTATAACAATGTTCAGAAAAGATGAGAACTTGAATGAACTTGAAAGCAAAACAAAACACATTGAGTCAGTTCAGCTTGTAAGTACAACATCTCTGCAAGAAAATGAAGCAGTTCCTGCTACACGTGCTACACCCAGACAGATCAACAGGTATGGACATGAAAACAGAGAGATCATCTTGAGAACTAATAGCCAGGCAAATGAGGATAAGACAAGGCAGATTTCAGCAGCTGCCATCCCTAATCTTCAAATCAGCTACATAAATCCTCCAGAGACAAAAATAGCACATGTGACTGAGAAACCAACCTTAACTAATGTGGACCAGCAGAGAGTTTACAACTGGGCAATGCATCCTGAAGGAGTACCTATCCACCCCTGGTTAATCCAAAAGTCTACACCAAAAAAACAAATCTCAATTACACCCCATCCCTACAATCAGTCTCCCTTCTGGCCCACAGTTCATAGCTCAAAGCACCACCACTCCCAAGACAAAACATGGTATTTCCTACAAACAGGAGGCAGGGGTGCAGGGGCCACCAATCGGCCTGAAATCACTGCTCAAACAGCAAAGCCCACAACTTATATTTCGGGGTCAGTGACAGCTTCCGTTGCGAGGACCATAGCTCCACATGTCAGCTCATCTCGTGTACGTGACCACTTACTTTTCAACAGGCTCAGAAACAGATATAGACAGTCACAGCTTAATGCATATCGACTAGCCCAGATGGGAAAGCTTGTCACTTCTAAGCCAAGGACATATCGTCCCACCCCACAGCCTCACCAAGCTCCAAATATCCCAAACATCTACAAGCCTGTGACTCCCCCATCCATCCTAGCATATACAAACAAACCAACCTTCACAGCTAGCGTACCATATGGCAGTCGCTGGCACTACAGTCAGTTTGGAGCAAAGAAATTGAGCACTGCCATTCCCTTTCCAAACCTGATGGGCAATGGCGCCAAACCCAGGATCACAACAACTGAATCCGTTACTATATCTGCTTTAGCAGAGACAGATGTGCTCTTGTCCTGTAGATCATCTGGGGACCCCAAACCTATTGTTTCATGGACCAAAGTTTCAACAGGTGATTCTTCGCTACATAACTTTTACGGATGCATCTGTCTGAATGGAGGATGAAATTTAAAAAAAACTTTTTTAGAGCGCCCACTCCCAGCTTACCTTAGATAGCTATCAAACACTGCTATCATGCTTTATAAGTGAACTATTTTTTTTTCTTCGTGATTATTACATTATTATTCTCTTTATGAGGGCCTGCATGCAATTTTCTATTTTCTGAGTGATTCTGGAGTGCAACTGAAGCCAAATTATCAGCTTATGGTAATTAACATAATAGCTGCAGCTATTTGATGACAGAAATAATCACTGTATAAAAGGAAACAGTAATTTTGTGTTTGAATTAGTGGTTGAAAGGCTGCAATCAGTAATACTTGTAATGAGAAATTGTATATACAACTCTTGCATGTTTGACATAAATTGGATCAAGTCATACAGGTACATTTTGGTTAAATTATAACAGATCAATTTGTATTGTCCTAGAGGTTAATCTAACAGCTACAAATAAGGCTGAAAGACCCCATTGTGAGAGATATACATAATTCAAATCAAGACATACAGAATGGGACATACCCCAACTGTGCTGTTTGTTTTAGAAAGAGTCAAACAATTCAATAATGTTTTGACATTATTTGATAAGTCTACTGATGTATTTACTTTTTTTCAACTCTTTTACAGGTGCAACAATTCAGACCAACACAAAACTTGTACGAAGATTTGAGGTCCTTTCAAATGGTACTTTTGTGATTAAGAATGTCCAGCTGCAAGACAGAGGCCAGTACCTTTGCACAGCTCAAAACAAATTTGGTTCAGACCGCATGGTAGTTACCCTCGTTGTCCAGACTCAGCCTCCAAAAATCATGAGTTCAAGGGCCAGAGATGTTTCAGTGTTTTTGGGAAACTCAGTCAGCTTGGACTGTATTGCGGTGGGTAAACCAGAAGTTCAGATTTCATGGATACTTCCAGACAGGACATTTGTGCGAGACATTGGTACCCTTGACCAAAGAGTATCTCTTTTTCCAAACGGAACACTGAGTATTCATTCAGCAAACTTTTCTAATAAAGGTGATTATAAGTGCATTGCCAGCAATGCAGCAGGAGCTGATACACTCACGTACCACATTCGTGTTGCTGCTCTACCTCCAATAATTGTTGAGGTTTCACATGAGACTATATTTATGAATGCTGGAAGAAACGTATATGTGGATTGCACTGCTAAAGGAGAGCCATTCCCTCTAATTAAGTGGGTTCTCCCTGATGGTTCACAAATGAAGCCCACACAGTTTATTGGAAGTCGGATATTTATTTTCCCGAATGGTACGCTTTATATAAAGAACGTCAATCCCAGTGATTCAGGCAGGTATGAGTGCTCAGCAACCAATCCAGTGGGCTTTGCTAAAAGAACGGTGCAGATGGATGTTAGGCAAGAGGCTCCAGGCCCCTGGAAAGGCCTATATCAGCAACACAGTGTCACAGCAACATATGGATCCACAGTTTTCCTGCATTGTCCAGAGTCTGTAGGTTCCCACAGAGGCACAGTCTGGAGACTACCATCTAAAATCATTCTGGAACATCAGTACAGGTACATATTTAATGCTTTTGAAGACAATCTAAACGTATGTAAGTGCTCTATCTAGCTAGAATTTGACAATTTATTTTAAATAAAATAATAAAGAGTTTTTCTGCTTATTAATGTGGGAGCTTGTTTCCCCTTTGAAGCACCCCATACAGAGGGTTTATTTAAGTCAAGCCGTCGTAGCTTTATTGTCATTTTTCCTTTAATAAGATAGCTTCACTTTTCTCTTTTGGGCAATTATTGGTTCTCACTGTTCACACCATGCAGTCTGCCATACACTCTCAAACTCACAGCAAGCCAACTTCATCACTTGTGTAATTCAAACAATATATGGTGTAGATTAAACAAGCAGTCTCTCTCAGACTGGAAAGCCCAAACAAACCCCGCTGATCCAGACAATACAGTAACTGAGCGAGACGCAAGGGCAATTTGTCTACTTCATGTGCTTAGCAGGGCCATCGCTAGGAATTCTGGTGCTTAGTCATCTATACAACAGGCTACTTAAAGCAGTTAGATAACAAATAAATTTAACATTAGGCATTCATTATTACGTCTAGAACTAAAATGTATCAAAATTTAATTATGTTCACAAATGTTAAATATTGGTTCATAATCCTGCTGTGTGACTTCAGCTACAACAATAATTTAATGAAGAAACAATAGCAACACAGCCACTGATGATGATGATGATGATGATGATGATGTGTGTTTATGTGATTTATGAGGACATAAATTGATAGGCTACTGGTATAACAACTTAAACATATTTTATGGGGAAATTTCCTCTTAGTCCTACCATTACGCCTACAAAATCAATGTGTGTGTGTGTGTATGTGTGTTTGTGAAAGAGAGATGTTAGTAAAACGTGTGTAAACCAGTTTGTCTATACTGCTCTGAACTATGAGTATTCCACAAATACCCTTTATCTTTCTCTTCTCTTGTTCTGTAGGACCTATAACTCTTTAAAACTCAAGGCTTTTTAAAAACCTTTAAACCTTTTGTCAACACATTCAAAGTGTGTCTTGACAAACTTGCTTTACTATTTAAAATAACAGAAATATGAATTTATTTGGATTTCATTTTAATTGTACTGCCTTACATTCAAATTTGCATTGCAATTCTACATCCTGTTTCTTAACTTAACTTAATTATTATTTTTATTATTATTTTCAATTAAAAAATTAAAATGGACTGTAAAAGACTGTAGCTAAGATGTAGGCTAAGATGTACAGTATCCCTTTCGAAACAAAAATATATGGGAATATACTGCAAAATATAATGCAGTATATTACATAATATTACATTTCCATAAATGGGAAACTACCCTTACGAAACAAAAATATATGGGAATATACTGTGAAATATAAATCGATATTATATTACATAATACATTTCCATAAATGAGAAACTAGTGCTTATATATTTCAATATACTGCAGTATATGCATATTGATATATATATATATATATATATATAGTTCTGGCATGAAACTCTAGATGGCGCAGTCCGATAGGTCTAACTCAATTATATATATATATATACACATACACACACACACACACACACACACATATATATATATATATATATACAGTATATATATATATTTATTTATTTATTTTTTACAAATGAAGACAAATATAGCATTACATATAATATAAATAAAGTTTAAAAGGGTTTCTGGTGTGGGTTTTGGAGTTACAGTTGTGTTGAAGAGTAGAGCCTGTGGTTAGGATGACGATTGGCCGAACACCATTAAGACTATAAGTATGTTGTTTCTTTTAAAAAGTAATGGCTGTGCACTCTTCAGCACAGTGATAGACTCTTTCCTAAATACTTTAGTACATGTAAGTGTTCTTGTGCTATTGGTGACTAGCTATATATGAAATATATATTGTAAATAATTATTTAATTTAAGAAATGTATTACATTATTTATTTTATATGTATTATTCAATATATTGTAATTATTAACACTATATTATACTTATTTTTGCGTAAGGGATATCACATAATCTAAAAAACCATGCCACACAGTTTGCTTTTTTCATGAAAGGTCTCACTTGTCTCTTATACAGTCAGACAAGCAACCTTTGAAAGGCCATGGAAAATAAATTGCAGTGTGCAGCTATCCTAAGAAGAATTCTATGAGCTCTTTTATCCTATCATTGTTAATTACTATGAAATAGTACAGCTGTCATAAAAAGATGTAACAAATTTCTCTCTTTTTGTTTTCAGTCCACAAAGACACATCACTGCTTTCCCCAATGGCACTCTGAGAATTCTGAGACTGACTGAGAAAGATGGAGGCAATTATCTGTGCATGTATCAAAGACCAAATGGTGAGGACATGGAGCTGTTCCAAGTAGAGGTTCTCATGAGGCCACCAAAGATAGAGAACACTGGGGCACAACATAAAAGAGTTGCTAATGGAGACAACTTCCTGGTGGACTGTGTAGCTTCTGGCCTTCCAGACCCTGAGGTTTCATGGAGCCTCCCAGATGGCACCATGATCAACAATGCCCTTCAGTCGGATGACAGCGGAACCCGTAACCGGCGCTATATCATCTTTGGGAATGGAACGCTTTTGTTGCAACAAATGGGAAAGAAGGATGAAGGCAATTATACATGCTATGCTAAGAACACCCTGGGGGAAGATGCAATGAAAGTAAGTGTCCAAGTCATGCCAAACTCACCCCAAATAACTTCTAAAGAGCAGGTATCCATGTTGGCACCTTTCGGGCAATCAGCCCAAATGAAGTGTGATGCTACAGGTGTGCTATCAGCTACGATCATCTGGATCTCACCAAGGAATGAGATAATACCCTCATCTTCGGTCAAATACCAAATCCTAAATGATGGGACTCTGATCATTAAAAAACTGACTTTGGCTGACCAGGGAAAGTATGCCTGTGTTGCACGGAACCCAGCCGGAGATAACATCAAGAACGTGAACCTTCTAGTTGAGGTTAAAGGCCCACAAATCAATGGACACAGTGGGCGATCAGAGAACAAAATTTTAGCAGTGTATTACCAGACCTTGCTGCTAGATTGCAAAGCAGAAGGTAAGCCTGAACCACAGATCACCTGGACCACACCTTACGGCGTGTCTCTACCCACTCCATATTTGGGAGGTAGGTTCCAAGTCCACAGGAATGGCACTCTTGAATTGAGGGGCATTCGAAAGACTGATGAAGGTCAGTTTCTGTGCATAGCCAAGAATTACTTAGGGGAAGCAAGTCTAGCAGTTGACCTCGAAGTTGCATCACTTGCTGAGAAGCCAAGCTTTCCAGTGCCAAACATAGAGGTTCTTCCTCTCAAAGCAGATGGTGATGACATATGTTTGGAGTGTCGTGCTACGGGAAAACCAAAGCCAGAGTTTCTATGGATTCTACCCAATGGAACGGCACTGAATCCAGGCATGAAACTTCGGCGGTTCATTCACTACCTGGGAAATGGGACTTTACACATTACGCAGCCAGGTGTCATTGACAAAGGTGTGTATCGGTGCCTGGCTAAAAATGTAGCTGGACAAGCAGAAAAGCGCTATGCTTTAGAACCTGGACAGAAGCCTCAAATTAGAAGTACAGCTTCAACAATGAAGATTTCGTTTGGACAGACACTAAATATGCCATGCAATGCTGATGGTTGGCCTCAGGCAAAAATTATCTGGACTCTTCCAAATGGCCTGGTCTTAGACAAGCCCCAAGTTATTGGAAGAGTAACATATTTATCTAACGGCACACTTCAGGTAAAAGAAACATCCAAATTTGATAGAGGAATGTATACCTGCAAAGCCACAAACACCTTTGGATCCTCAACATTGTCATATCCAGTAAGTATTATGGTGTTTCCACCTCAAATCACTCATGCTCCACCTTCAGTAACCAGAGTTAACAGGGGGTCTCCTGTGATTCTGAACTGTATAGCTGCTGGCATACCCAAACCAGACATTTCTTGGACTCTGCCTGGACGTACCACGCTTGTACCCAATAGTCGCTTCACAGCACAGGGTGGAATTCGCATTACAGAGGAGGGAAATTTGGTCATACAGGACCCAGGCCTCATGAACTCAGGGATTTACAAATGTAATGCTAGAAATGCCTTGGGAACAGACTTCAAAGCAACATACCTTCAAGTGATCTGAGCAATAGACAGAAATCCATCAGGTCATTAAGAACACTAAATGGGAACCTTTCTTTAAAAACATAAATCATACTTTAAAAGTGCACCAATGCACTTAAAATACCCCGAACAATGTTGTTAAATAGCATTTTTCCTTAATAGTTTTTGTGAATAGCCATGGATTGTTGTCTTTGGATCTGCCCAATAACTGACCCGAGAATAAGATTTCTTTAGTATTCTATATTTAATTTATGAAATTATTAGTTTGTACATATTTATATATTCCACAGTTTAAACAGAATAATTTTTACATACTTTTTTTAACATAAATTTCAAATAAACATTCCAGAATGTCTGTGATTTGTTTGATATGTTCTGTCTGTTGAATTTCTTGCATTCTTCAGTGCATTAGAACAAAATAGCCTTGTCAGAGCAGAACGAGGCCTTGTGTGGTACAAATGTTGGCATTGTGGTAGTTGTCCAAATAAATAAGACAAGAACACAGTATGTAAGACACTTACTGCCACACTGGGCAAATAAATAATAATATTTGATTTCTGGTCTTTAGTCTTTAATATCATGTCAAATCACATTTATTTGTACAGTGCTTTATACAATAGAGATTGTTCAAGCAGCTTCACAATAATGGGAACCTAACAAAAACAGGAAAATAGTAATGTCAATCAATTATGAAACGACTTATCATCAATTATGAAACAACATTAATAATGAGTCGGACTTGTAACCCAAAGGTTGCGGGTTCGAGTCTCGTACCGGCAGGGATTGTAGGTGGGGGGAGTGAATATACAGCGCTCTCTCCCACCTTCAATACCACGACTGAGGTGCCCTTGAGCAAGGCACCGAACCCCCAACTGCTCCCTGGGCGCCGCAGCATAAATGGCTGCCCACTGCTCCGGGTGTGTGTTCACAGTGTGTGTGTGTGTGTGTGTTCACTGCTGTGTGTGTGCGCACTTTGGATGGGTTAAATGCAGAGCACTAATTCCAAGTATGGCCACATGTCACGTCACTTCACTAATAAATATCACAATTGCACAAATTGCACAATATTACTAGACAAACAAAAGGTCATACATTCATTTTGGAATTTGGTGTGTAGTCCTACTTCATTTTAAATACAAGACACCACAATACTTAACTAAGCAATATGCATAGCATAGCATTTGTGTATCCACATAGAAAAAAAAATCACAATATGAATTAAAACATTTCTTATTAACTTCTTCTAAGACCAAGCTATCTAAAACTATTCTATACACATAAGAGTATGTCTATGTAGCTTACTCTTACTGTTTATTATCAATTGTTTAATTTTTTTTACATTTCTTTTGGTGCTTACATTTTTGTGGGTTTTTTTCCTTTCGTATTCCACTGCAATACTAGCAAACAAGTCAACATTAGAGTAAATAAAGACAGAATTTTCATTTTGGGGTGAACTATCCCTTTAAATTTAACCAGTGCAACCATGTTGTCACCATTATTCGATACAAAAGTAAAGTACCATTTATTTTTCATCTATTCTTTTTTAACTAGCCTACTTTTAATTGCGTTAAGAGTTCCGCATCAGTCGGCATACACTTGTCAGTCTGAACTCTCTGCATCTGCAAAGGGAGTGGATCTGCTATCCCTTCCCCCATCACCACCACCATCATCACCGCCGGACCAGTGAACACCAGGCTCGGTACATCATTTCACCGTGATGGCAAATGAATTCCCAGAAAGCAGAGAAGGAACTGCCAACTCACGCCATGCCACCCTCACGTCGTCTCTAGACGTGAGCACGTCTCTAGATCACAGTGTCCAGACGCGGATTTTTAAAATCATTGTCATCGGGGACTCAAATGTGGGCAAGACCTGTTTAGCCTTCCGCTTCACCGGCGGAGCCTTCCCCTGTAAGACTGAAGCCACAATCGGCGTGGATTTCAGGGAGAAAGCCGTGGAGATCGAGGGCGAGAAAATAAAGGTGGGATTTATTGTTGGGGTTGGTCTCGTCACGACCAGGCCGATATCTCGTTGTATCACGGTTGTATTTTGTGTGTTTCAGTGGACGTGTGACAGACAGCAGCATCGCGAGGAAGCTCAATGTTTACATTACGAGTAATCACATGAATTACTCTTTCTGATTGCATGATGCATCACAGGCGTAGTTTCTTTTAAGACAAATCAAAATACGTGTCATAATGTGGACAGTTTAATTTTTACTTGGTCTAAGATGTCCATTACCTGGTCCAAACTGGTTTTCCAAAGCTTATGAACTGTTTAGACCAGCTTAGACGATCTAGAAACGAATAGTCCAATAGTCTTATATTTTAATGTATTAGTATTCATACAACAAAATATAATAGACTGGTGAAAAGAGCATAATATGACATTATATAGATAACACATTATTTATGTGTTTTTATATATATATATATATATATATATATATATATTTATAATCTGTGTGTGAATGTGATTTGAATTCAGTCAGTTGAGTTGATTTAACCCTTTAATATATAATCTGTTAAATCAAAAACAAAAAATATCAATGTTTCTTTATATGTAAGTAAAATTCAAAGCTGTGACACATAGGGTTGCAAAGGGGTGGACAATTTCCGGAAACTTTCCAAAAATCCCTGGAATATCCCCAAAAATCCTGGAAAGTTTCCAAAATTTCTGGAATGTTTCCTAAATTTACTGGAAATTTTCCACCTTTTTGCAACCCTAGTGACACATAGTTATTTGGATTTAACATCACAGCCTGAATTTAAAAATTGCTTTTTAAAGATGTCCAAAGCAGATTTATTTATTGACCTTCTAATCCATTTCTTTCTGATGCATCAGTTTTCTCATTTTAACTTCTCTCCAACATTGAAATGTGTTGTTTGTCTTGTTTCTACATTGACAGGTGCAAGTATGGGACACAGCGGGCCAGGAGCGCTTTCGGAAGAGCATGGTGGAGCACTACTACCGCAATGTGCATGCTGTTGTATTTGTATACGACGTCACAAAAATGGCCTCATTCCAGAACCTAAAGACCTGGATTCAGGAGTGTAACGGGCACGGGGTGTCATCTTCGGTGCCTCGTGTTCTGGTGGGTAACAAATGCGACCTAGTTGACCAGATCCAGGTCCCTTCCAACACTGCCCTCAAGTTTGCAGATGCCCAGAACATGCTACTGTTTGAAACATCAGCCAAAGATCCCAAGGAGAGCCAGAACGTGGACTCCATCTTCATGTGCCTGGCATGTCGTCTAAAAGCCCAAAAATCCCTGATCTACAGAGACGTGGAGAGAGAAGACGGCAGAGTGAGGCTGACACATCAGCCCGACCCTAAGAGTAACTGCCCTTGTTGAGGACCCTAAATTGTGAAATTATTAACATTGATAATTCACAATGCAAGAATGTGCCTGCAACTAATTTTAGTTACTTTATGACAGCTGCTCCATGAACTCTCTTTGTGTGTGTGTGTGTGTGTGTGTGTGTGTGTGATTATCTTTCATGTTCTTTTCTTCAGTTACGCCATCACTAAAAAGGCAAATCCCACAAAACCTGTCAAGAACATGTTCAAGTTGTGTCATCTCAAAATCAAAAGAAAGAAATGAGAAATTACATTTTGCTAACAAAAAAAAAAAAACACTTATGCCTTTTTGCATTGTGACATTATTTTTATGACAATTAAGCACACTTTCCCTATTACTGTAATGCAAAAAATATTAATATATTATGTACTTCCTTTAATTTATGCTGATTTAAATAAAAAATGTATTACAGTAATGAGACTCTAATAACAATCATCAGTTTTAAAAACATACAAAATCATCCATTAAAAGTAAAACATCCAAAACATTATTTTGAGATTTCTCGTGAGGAAACGTGTTGAATTTCCATGAAAAATAATGTCAAGGTGCAAAAAATTTTGATAGCCTTATAATATGTTTCATTTTATTCATCACACTTTACCACTTAAGCACACTTAGGGCACACTTTACCACTTAAGCAATCTTTAAAGGTCTGAAGAAACGTGACATTTGTTGGATTTACAGTCATTTGTTTCCGTCACACATTTGTTTGGATTCATCCATCAGCATACAATCCAAATATTACTTGTGGAATATGGCATAACATCTCCAACATAATTGGCTGATGGTCTTAATGTTTTAGCCGTCAGGAACTGCACATATTGTAGAATCTAAACCTTCCAGTTTTACATGAGTCACAATGATCATTTAAAATGTTTGTATTGCCTCAAAACATAATAATTTGCCACCATTGCAAGTTATTTCTCATAGCCTTGTGGTTACTCACTGCTAAAATATTTTTAAATATTTCTCCCTCACTAACTGCATGGATACATTTGAAACCCGTTCAAATTATGAAACTATATTCTGATGCTTAGCATTAAATAGTGACCCAAATGTTAATGGAATCTGATAAGACTCATAATTCACCACATGCTCATTTCCATGCACCTTGGGAAAGAGTGAAACCGTGTGGGAAGTTTTATGTAGCATCACAGTATTTCACCAGCTTAAGGTGGTTCTTCCAAATGCATAAACAGTTATGTACAAAAGCAAGGTCCAAACAGGCCAGTGATTGTTAGATTTCTATTCAAAAGACCCAGAAAATAATGATTTTAAACTTGACAAAGATATCAGTATGAGTGTTTCTGTGGAAGGGGTTGCTGATAATGTGGAAATGTTGATTATGGATTGTGCGAGTGCAATTTGGTGCCCCTGTGATTGTGATTGTTTTTGTGTAAACCTCTATCCTCTGCTTATTCAGTACTTTTGGTTCTACAGGAGAAGTTGCAGTTTTCTGTGTGGTTTCAAATGCTTTCAGATTCGTAAGAGAATTCTCTGGTTTCAACTGTGTTAGCCTTATATCTGCTGAAGAGATTGAAGCCTTATGATTTGTCTTGTTTTGTGCCCTTGTATGCTGTGTGACATGTTACAGTATGTATGTTTGATTTTGAGCACCAAATTAAATCTCAGATATCCTGAAGCACTGAATCTTTTAATAGCCGAGAAATGCTTTAAAACATTAACTGTTATTGGAGTTCATGTTTTAGAGAAAAACACGCATAGGTGTTTTTCCAATGTACAACACAATGCTGTTAATTAACATATTATGCTGAAAAGAGTTCTAAACTAACCATGATGCATTTGTAAAATCCTATTCAGCGGAAATTATTCATTGATTAATTAAGGACAGTGTCAACAATGCTAATAGACAAAGAGCATGCAACAATAATCCTGCTGTCATAAATAAATATAGAAATTTGCAAAGAATAAAGAGGAGTTAAACAGATTTTTTTTTGAATGTGGAAGGCCTAATTTTTCACTGTACTAAATATAAACCAGTGCAAAAAGAAATAATAAATCTTATGTAGAGTGTTTATGTAATCAGTTTTATGTTCCAATAAATACAGGCTGTAGAATATTAGAATGGTACTCACATTCACAGGCCGTATATTTAAAAGTAAAATTATACTTTATTCAAAAGTGCCATACTCTGATGAAAATGACAAAACATTTCGTATTTATTGCATTTCAGAAGCAATGTTTAAGGTATTTGCATATCTATTGAATAATGTGTTCCAGAAATATTTAAATGTCATATTTTAAAGTTAAACACATAATAATTACATTTGCTGCCTCTAACTGTTAAGTCTTAATATCGAGTACAATATGCTGAAAAATCACAAAAAAACAACAACAACATAATTAACAGATAAATGAATATAGCCTACTCATTCTCTTACTAATTTGTGACCGGTGTTTTGTTTTGCTCTCTCCTCTGCGCTTCCACGTTCGTCACCTCGTTTGCCTACGTCCTACGTCATCCGCTGGACGCCACTCTCTCATGAATGTGTGTACGACAGTTAGCGGAAGCTATAGAGATTAAGTTTTATAAAGTTGTAAATATGTTCGTCTGAAAGAAGAATGTCATATACACCTAGGATGGCTTGAGGGTGAGTAAACCATGGAGTAATTTTCATATTTGGGTAAACTATCCCTTTAAGATCCTTAGCTGAGGCCAAGATGGGCTATAAAAATCACAGTTTTTTGCACAATATGTAATTCATGTGCAGTGTAAAATGTTGTTGTAACTACTGCCTCTTTAAAAATATATTATAAATACTGTCATTCATCTTTTATTTGCAATATGTGTTTGTACTAGACGTCCATTCCTCCCCTGTCATGTACTTTGATGAACACGTGGGGCGCTGGAGCCAAAAACCTGAAATGTGTTGCGGGCACACGTCACCAGTAGATGTCGCTGTTTTCCACGCTCTCCATCATGACTCAGCGTGGGAGACTTTTATTTTGAAACATATTTGGTCACTTTACCCTGTTTCACATGGTTCGTGTTTTAGTTTGGCGGCGGCGGTGGTAACGGCAGCGGGAGCAGGGCTGTGAGTGCAAGAGTGCGGTTCTGTCGCCGTGGACGGGGCCGGAGATGGCGGAGTACAGTCAGGCGGGTATATTAACGGCCCTGCTGCTGTTTACTGCGCTAACCGTGAGGGATATTTATGTGGGCCGCAGCAGCATGACTCAACAGGACCGCGCTGGACCCGATACACACACACAGAGACAGAACAAACACACTTTCTACACGGGTCCGGTTCTCAAGTTCCAGTTCTGGTGAGAAACTCCACAGACCTTGATATTATTCAGTGTTTTTACTGTCTGTTTAAAGCCCACAGGGGATGCTAAGCTAATACGGCTAACGTAGCATGCCTGAATGTGTGAAAAAATATTACGTATTAATATGCACTTAAATAACTATATACTGTATAGTACATTTATTTGCATTATAAATGGAATGAATTGAAATAAATTGGACCATTTTTGTCATGAGATGAATGTCAAAAACCGCCCCCAATTACCCCAATGGACCTTGTTAATGTATTCATAAGACGTCTTTTTGAAAAACATTAATGTTTTATTTATGTACGTACATAATTAACATCATTGCTGCGAAAACTGCTCAGGTTATCTTGCATTCATGTGTCTAATTGAAACGTGTTGAATTGAGCAGATTATTATAAATCTACGTAAAGCTCCTGTGAGATTACATTGCCCTGCAATAACACAACATATCCGAAGACAATAGGAAAGAACGATTTATTTATATTATATATTATATATTAACTTTGACTGAATATTTTACATTTTTTCTTTTCTGAATTAATAAATGTAGAGGTGTGATTTAATGTTATTGATTAACCTTATTTACCAGTTTAATTGACTTATTTGCTCGTTCTACCTGTTGAAGAAGCTGAATTGGTGTTTAAATTTAAATGTAGCCATTAATATGTTAAAGTCTTCTTCCATAATGTGACATCCGAGTGTAATAGATTATTAGAAAATAAAAATGATAAGGTTGCACTTGGTTCTATACATCGGTTGTTCATCGGATGATGAATTTGACCTTACAGGGGTGGGTTTAAGAGGTCTAAATGATTTGAGAAGTCCTGTACACATCAACAGAGAAGTCTGTCCATTTCAACAGACATTTGACATTTTGATTTAACACTCTAAGGTCAAAAAATAATTTAAAAATTTCATGGATATTATATGCTTTTGGAAAATAGGATGAGCTTTCATTTCATACCGACTTGTGTTTGTGGATGTCATATCAATGACCATTTCTAAAATGATTTATCACCATCATTAAGTGTGTGTTTGTTTGTTTTTTAGTATATCCTGAGGGTACAGTAAGGTGTTCCAGGAGTACTCCCGGTCCATCAGCCAGCTGTACCCGGACATCCGAATCGAGGGAGAGAATTACCCTCCCAAACCCATCAACAAGTGAGTGTGTTTTTCCAGATGTTGTGGAATCAGCCCTCTGTTAGATGGTGGTGTAGTCCTAACTTTAACTTGTCATGTGTCTTCGTCTACAGATACATTGGAAATTTCATCTCCTACTTCAAACTGCTTGCCATCGCCTTGATTGTGACTGGACAAAATCCTTTCCAAATGTTTGGTATGAGCACTCCAAGAATATGGTCCTGGGGACAGGAGAATAAGGTAATGTTGTTGAAGTGCTTGGACTTTAACCTGATTTTATAGCGGAGTTTAGGCTGAAGACAAACTTACACTGTGACTGTGTCATAAGCCCTATTCGCACGGGATTAGTATTACCTGGTGACCTCCAGTCATTTGTTATAATTGCGGAGGTTGTTTGTGATCTTAATCCCGTGCGAATCGGCCATGTCTGTAAAAAAATTCCCCCGCAAATGACCTACCATATTTTGCAGAACACCGAGGTCCTGTGATAATATTAGTCCCGTGCGAATCGGCATCTCTGCGATTTGGCGGGTCGCATATCATTTTTCGAGGTTTTTGTTTGCTGTGCGCCTTTTTATCCATCTTCCGCGAAGTATGGAGCTGCGTTGGAGTGTTTGATAGTATTTTGGGTGCTGTCATCATATCGCTACACCATACAATTTGCAGAAAGAGAAAGCTGAAAAGGTTTTGAGGTTAATGTGTTACAAATAAATCAAGCACAAAGCTTGAGATATTATTTTAACCTGGTGAAATGTAAATGACACAGCGCACGAAACTATATTAGTTTCTTTTTTTTAAAT